ACCATGACTCTTTGTACACCTACCTGAATGGCCTGCTTTAGAGAGTTCTTAAAAACTGGACAGAGTGAGGTTGTAACATATATCCAGAGGGTACCCACATCTGAATTTTGAATCACTTCCCCTTGTCTTCCCATGACCCTAGATCTTGTGCTCATGGCCTGGAGTAAAACCTGTTTTAACCACTATTTTTCTCTCCTGTATCACTCCACCCATGTATACAGTCCAGAAATCCAAAGTGAAGTTGGTGAACTTTATGCCAACTTTGCAGACGTATTCAGTAAGGCCAAGGCATCAACGCTACAAGCACACTGACCATGGGATTGTGCCCTCAACCTTCCCCCCCAAAAGGGTGAGCTTACCCTCTCTGTCTCCCTGAGATCAAAGTCAAGGAAAAATACATTTCCGAGGCCCTAGCCCAAAGCTACATATGCCTTTCCACCTCACCCCCTGCAGCTGTTTGTGGTGGAAGTTGACGCCTCCAAGTGCCTCTGAGATGGTCCTCTCTCAGCAACAAGGTAACCCAACTAAACTATACCCTTGTGCTTTCTACTCCAGGAAATTGACCCCAGAAATAATGACACAGGAAACCGAGAGCTCCTTTCCATCAAGGCCGCCCTAGAAGTTTTGCAACACTGGCTGGCACTCCCTCATCCCCTTCATCACCATGACAAAGCATAAAAACCTTGAATATGTCAAAAGATTAAGCCCATGCCAAGCCAGCCACTATTCTTCACCCACTGCAGTTTCACACTAACATATAGACCTGGGTCCAAGCTGGTAAAGTTTATGCACTATGCTGGGTCTTTGAAAGTCCTCACTCCCAACTAGCTCCTGAAATCATCATCTCTGAGTCCAGTTTTGCAGCTCCAGTACAGTGGGAGAGTATGAAGGATGCCCAGCATTCTCAAGAAAATGATCCCACACCAACTTACTCTGTCAAGACGCTACTCAACTCCAAGCAGTAGGGTAATGTCATGTACTAACTGGTGGACTGGGAAGGCTCCAGACAAGAAGGACATTCATGGATCCCTGACAAAAAATTTGATCTGTTACTGATCTCTGAGTTCCACAGAGACTGCCCAGCATTATAGACCCAGTGCAACCATTGAGGGTTTTTAGGGTATTATGTAAAAGGTCATTACAGAAGCTCTGTCATGCTTTCCATATGGTGTCCAGTATACACTCAGAGGTATAACTTATTGTCCTGGTCAACAAACTGTGTTCAAGATTTTTAAAAAGAAATAAGGTAATATAATTAACTAATTCAAGATTCAAGATTCAAAGAACTTTATTAATCCCAGGGGGAAATTGCTTTGCCATGTTACAATTGCTCTCAAGTAGAATGAAAGAAAAGAAGGAAAGAAGAAAATAAAATAAAATAAAATAAATTTATACCTATACAGTATATAAAAAAGTAAATCAATAAATTAAAAATGCGTAGTGAAACATACCCATAATGATGTAAATGTTGAGTATGATATGTCCAGTGTGGTAACAGTAATTAAGTACAGTCAGGTATGTAGTCTTTATTGCACACTAATCTAAGTATTAATAAATAAGCCCTTATTGCACATGAAAAGAACATGTATTGCATATGCATTACACATGAAAGTTCCAGCAC